TTGAACGAAATTTCCTATTGCATATTTCGTTCTGGAAGAAATTACCTGTTGTTTTCGTGATGCAATCGCTTTTGTGATTTAAAAATTTTTTTGAAGTTGAAAAGGTCACCTCGTTAAATACAGATTTATCTGTTGGAATTTGATCATATCAGTGCTTTGAAAAACGCAATTAGAGATATCGTAAGTTTTATATTACTTCTTTTAATCGAGATATAACAGCAGAGCGGTTTAGCCTAAGAAGACTCGCAAGACGAATTCTTTTCGCAGTCACACTGAACGTCGTAAACTTATATAAGGCTACTGGATATTTTAAATACGTTTGGATGTTGTAGAGGGTTTGTCTTAAAATCATAAACGGGTCTTACATCTTCCGCTTACCACTCTCTCATCAGTCCACTGTTTTAAGGTTCTGTGAAAGCGTTTATCAGGGTGATTCGGCGGCCTGGGAAAATGTGCGCTTTCATGCTTTCTCGGCTCGATTTTTCTGCTTTAGTTTGTCCTATTTTCAGTGAAACAGTTGCTAAGCTGGGTTTTCCGTATTGTGCAAAGAGGTCAAATTAGAGATGTACGATTTCGTCACCTTCCATACGTGACCTGCCACATAAGCTACGTTAATTTATTCTGAATCCAGTCTCTCCTCCGAGTCCTAGAAGATGTGCGCCTCTAACACAAATGCAGGTTTGATAATAAAGTGGCAGTGATGGATGATTGAAGGACATCTAGTTTGCGAGGTCTGTCTAGGAGAAGGATAGTTTTAATACTAAGCTGAGTGGAAGGAATGGAACCGTTGTCCGTTATACAAAGCGTAATTGCATTTATTGAATTATTTTTCTTTGTGTACTGGTTGTGTTATGTTGTTTATTTAGAGATTTTGCTTTTCGTAATGGTGCTCAAACTACGGGGCGACATTTCAGACGCTTTGAGACTAATTCAGAGAGAAATTGGCAAGGGAAGTTTTGTAAAATTCCTGACCGAAGCAGAGCTTCGGATGGTGGAATTGATGATGGAACAAAATATGGTCAAAGAAGTCCTTGTCGTTACAAAACTGTTTCTATCGAAGAGGTAGTTTGACCTCATCCAGTGTTCAATTTTCAAACGGTTTCGCTGTTAAGACCGGCTGACTGGCTCTTATGGAAACATTGCTTCGACGCAGCGATTGATATAGTTAACAGCGATCCGGAGTTATTGCAAAAGTAAGTACTATTGTTAGTCTGAATTAGGACACTTTGTACTCCTCTTGTTTGTTGTATTCTTTTTGTTTTCTGTTTTACATTTTTTGCCTTGTAACGATGAATGCTTCGGCAGCGAAATTGCTTATGGCATATAATAGCCTTTTGTTTAGGAGAATTACCTAGGGACCCTGAGACTTGCGATTATTGTTTCTGTATCATACTACCATCTTTGTTGCTATTCTTTATTCATGCGTTTCAATCTTCAGCTCAAGTCATAACAGATTACTCAGAAGTATAGTTGCCTTCGAATATTATTCGTACATTCCTGGTTTGTATCTGCTATTTTTTGTCTTTTGCTCCGAAACTGCAAATCAATATTTTCCGTTCTCTAAGCGCTAATGATATACTTTGAAATCTTTTCCTTATGATTTACATATTCACATTCATAGGTACGTCGATGAGATATGTGAATTTATTGAAAGTTGTGTAGCAGACAGTAACGAACGATGCCCTGTGATACGGGGACCGCGTTTAGCGAGACTCGATTTTCTTTGTACCGTTTTGACGAACGTTGCTTTTCGTGGCGCAAAGCTCCCTGATCACTGGAGTAAGTATTTCCATTCGCTAGCTTGTCAAAAACGGGAGTTTTTTTTGCATTTTGCTCTTTGTAGACGTTGCTTCGTTGTTGATAGACTACTTCCAGATGTTCGCTTCCAAGAACTGTTGTTACCGGGACTTGGTGCCTTTCATTGGATTCGTTTCCGACAGCGAAAAAGAAAAGGTAAGAATTTTGTTCGATTTCGTTTCATTTTTTGCAAAGCAGAACGTTACGATGTGTGCTCTTCCTTCAGCGGATAAACCGCTACTGGAGGGAGTTGTCGTTTCAGCTTGTAAATGAAACCAAATGCAAAATTTAAAGCTTGATGTCGAGACGCCGATTAAATAATCCTAAAAGATTAGTCAAGTCTTTAACATGCAACTCAAGAATTTCATTGAAAGGTGCGAAAAGTTCGAAAAGATTTGGCTAAGACAACTTGTTAAGTATTTGTCATACTGGTGAGATGTGCTGCGAAAACATACAATTATTGTCATGCTTCCTGTCCGATTGTATCCAGCGATGTAATTTTGAAGCGTATCATATATTGTGGTTGTTTTACAAATTTCATCTTAGGTATATAGGCTCAAGGCACGGATACTGAATATCTTACTTGATGCCATCATTTTTTACCCCATTTGCACAGGCATCAATATCAGTAATCAAACATGTAC